ACTCTCACATCACTACTGAGGCGGGCAGGTCACTCACACACCACTACTGAGGCAGGCAGGTCATTCCCACATCACTACTGAGGTAGGCAGGTCACTCTCACACCACTACTGAGGGGGGGCAGGTCACTCTCACACTACAACTGAGGCGAGCAGGTCACTCCCACACCATTACTGAGGCGGGCAGGTCACTCTCACACCACTACTGAGGCAGGCAGGTCACTCCCACATCACTACTTTGATGGGCAGGTCACTTCCACATCACTACTGACGTGAGCAAGTCACTCTCACACCACTATTGAAGGGGGCAGGTCACTCTCACACCACTACTGAGGCGGGCAGGTTACTCTCACACCAATGCTGAGGTGGGCAGGTCACTCTCACATCACTACTGAGGCGGGCAGGTCTCTCTCACATCACTACTGAGGCGGGCTGGTCACTCACACCACAACTGAGTTCAGGAAGGTCACACTCTCACACCACTACTGAGTTCAGGCAGGTCACTCTCACATCACTACTGGGGAAGGCAGGTCACTCCCTCATCACTACTGAGGCGTGCAGGTCACTCTCAAACTACTACTGAGTACAGGCAGGTCACTCTCACACACATCTACTGAGTTCAGGCAGGACACTCTCCCACTACTACTGAGACGGGCAGGTCACTCTCACATCACTACTGAGGCGGGCAGATCACTCACACACCACTACTGAGGCAGGCAGGTCATTCCCACACCACTCCTGAGGCAGGCAGGTCACTCCCACACCACTAATTAGGCAGGCAGGTCACCCTTACACCACTACTGATGCGGGCAGGTTACTCTCACAACACTACTGAGGCGGCCAGCTCTCTCTCACACCACTACTGAAGCAGACAGGTTTCTCTCACACCACTATTGAGACGGGAAGGTCACTCTCACACCACTACTGAATCGGGCAGGTTAATCTCATACCACTATTGAGAGGGGCAGGTAAATCTCACACCACTACTGAGGCGGGCAGGTCACTCTCACACCACTACTGAGGCGGGCAGGTCACTCTCACATCACTACTGAGGCGGGCAGGTCACTCTCACATCACTACTGAGGCGGGCAGGTCACTCTCACATCACTACTGAGGCGGGCAGGTCACTCCCACATCACTACTGAAGCGGGCAGGTCACTCTCACACCACTACTAAGTTCAGGCAGGTCACTCTCCCAAAACTACTGAGACGAGCAAGTCACTCTCACATCACTACTGAGTCGGGCAGGTCACTCTCACATCTCAACCGAGGGAGGCAGGTCACTCTCCCATAACTACTGAGGTGGGCTGGTCACTCTCAAACCACTACTGAGGCAGGAAGATCACTCTCACACCACTACTGAGTTAAGGCAGGTCACTCTCACACCACTACTGAGGCTGGAGGGTCACTCTCACATCACTACTGAGGCGGGCAGGTCACTCCCACACCACTACTGAGGCGGGCAGGTCACTCTCACAACATTACTGAGGCAGTAGGTCACTCTCACATCACTACTGAAGTGGGCAGGTCACTCTCACACCATTACTGAGGAAGGCAGGTCACTCTCACAACACTACTGAGGCGGGCAGGTCACTCCCACACCACTACTGAGGCAGGCGGGTCACTCTCACACCACTACTGAGGCGGGCCGGTCACTCTCACACCACTACTGAGTTTAAGCAGGTCACTCTCACACCACTACTGAGGCGGGCAGGTCACTCTCACACCTTCTTTGAGTTCAGACAGGTCACTCTCACACCACTACTTAGGCGGGCAGGTCACTCTCACACCACTAATGAGGCGGGCAGGTCACTCTCACACCACTACTGAGGCGGGCAGGTCACTCTCACATCACTACTGAGGCGGGCAGGTCTCTCTCACATCACTACTGAGGCGGGCAGGTCACTCTCACACCACTACTGAGGCGGGCAGGTCACTCTCTCACTACTACTGAGGCGGGCAGGTCACTCTCACACCACTACTGAGGCGGGCAGGTCACTCTCTCACCAGTACTGAGGCGGGCAGTTCACTCTCACACCACTACTGAGGCGGGCAGGTCACTCTCTCACTACTACTGAGGCGGGCAGGTCACTCTCACACCACTACTGAGGCGGGCAGGTCACTCTCTCACCAGTACTGAGGCGGGCAGTTCACTCTCACACCACTACTGAGGCAGGCAGGTCATTCCCACATCACTACTGAGGTGGGCAGGTCACTCTCACACCACTACTGTGGGGGGGCAGGTCACTCTCACATAACTACTGAGGTGGGCTGGTCACTCTCAAACCACTACTGAGGCAGGCAGATCACTCTCACACCACTACTAAGTTAAGGCAGGTCACTCTCACATCAATACTGACGAGGGCAGGTCACTCGCACGTCACTACCAAGGTGCGCAGGTCACTCTCACACCACTACTGAGGCTGGAGGGTCACTCTCTCATCACAACTGAGGCGGGCAGGTCACTCCCACACCACTACTGAGGCAGGCAGGTCACTCACACCACAACTGAGTTCAGGCAGGTCACACTCTCACATCACTACTGAGTTCAGGCAGGTCACTCTCACATCACTACTGAGGAAGGCAGGTCACTCCCTCATCACTACTTAGGCGTGCAGGTCACTCTCAAACTACTACTGAGTACAGGCAGGTCACTCTCACACACATCTACTGAGTTCAAGCAGGTCACTCTCCCACTACTACTGAGACGGGCAGGTCACTCGCACATCACTACTGAGGCGAGCAGGTCAGTCTCACATCACTACCGATGGGGGCAGGTCAATCTCACACCACTAATAAGGCTAGCAGGTCACTCTCACATCACTACTGAGGCAGGCAGGTCAATCTCACATCCCTACTGAGGCGGGCAGGACAATCCCACATCACTTCTGAGGCGGGCAGGTCACTCTCACACCACTACTGAGGCGGGCAGGTCACTCTCTCACTACTACTGAGGCGGGCAGGTCACTCTCACACCACTACTGAGGCGGGCAGGTCACTCTCTCACCAGTACTGAGGCGGGCAGTTCACTCTCACACCACTACTGAGGCGGGCAGGTCACTCTCTCACTACTACTGAGGCGGGCAGGTCACTCTCACACCACTACTGAGGCGGGCAGGTCACTCTCTCACCAGTACTGAGGCGGGCAGTTCACTCTCACACCACTACTGAGGCAGGCAGGTCATTCCCACATCACTACTGAGGTGGGCAGGTCACTCTCACACCACTACTGTGGGGGGGCAGGTCACTCTCACATAACTACTGAGGTGGGCTGGTCACTCTCAAACCACTACTGAGGCAGGCAGATCACTCTCACACCACTACTAAGTTAAGGCAGGTCACTCTCACATCAATACTGACGAGGGCAGGTCACTCGCATGTCACTACCAAGGTGCGCAGGTCACTCTCACACCACTACTGAGGCTGGAGGGTCACTCTCTCATCACAACTGAGGCGGGCAGGTCACTCCCACACCACTACTGAGGCAGGCAGGTCACTCACACCACAACTGAGTTCAGGCAGGTCACACTCTCACACCACTACTGAGTTCAGGCAGGTCACTCTCACATCACTACTGAGGAAGGCAGGTCACTCCCTCATCACTACTTAGGCGTGCAGGTCACTCTCAAACTACTACTGAGTACAGACAGGTCACTCTCACACACATCTACTGAGTTCAAGCAGGTCACTCTCCCACTACTACTGAGACGGGCAGGTCACTCGCACATCACTACTGAGGCGAGCAGGTCAGTCTCACATCACTACCGATGGGGGCAGGTCAATCTCACACCACTAATAAGGCTAGCAGGTCACTCTCACATAACTACTGAGGCAGGCAGGTCAATCTCACATCCCTACTGAGGCGGGCAGGACAATCCCACATCACTTCTGAGGCGGGCAGGTCACTCTCACATCACTAATGAATCGGGCAGGTCACTCTCACACCACTACTGAGGCGGGCAGGACAATCCCACATCACTTCTGAGGCGGGCAGGTCACTCTCACATCACTAATGAGGCGGGCAGGTCACTCTCACACCACTACTGAGTTCAGGCAGGTCACTCTCACCCACGACGACTGAGTTCAGGCAGGTCACTCTCACACCACTAATGAGACGGAAAAGTCACTCTCACATCACTAATGAGTCGGGCAGGTCACTCTCACATCACTACCGAGGGAGGCAGGTTACTCTCACACCAGTACTGAGGCAGGCAAGTCACTCTCACACCACTACTGAGTTCAGGCAGGTCACTCTCACACCACTACTTAGGTTGGCACCTCACTCTCACACCACTAATGAGACAGGCAGGTCACTCTCACACCACTACTGAGGCGGGAGGGTCACTCTCACATCACTACTGAGGCATGCAGGTCACTCTCACACCACTACTGAGGCGGGCATGTCACTCTCACATCACTACTGAGGCGGGTAGGTCACTCTCACACCTCTACTGAGGCGGGCATGTCACTCTCACATCACTACTGAAGAGGACACGTCACTCCCACACCACTACTGAGGCAGGCAGGTCACTCCCACACCACTACTGAAGCAGGCAGGTTACTCACACACCACTACTGAGGCGGGAGGGTCACTCTCACATCACTATTGAGACAGGAAGGTCACTCTCACACCACTACTGAATCGGGCAGGTCACTCTCACACCACTACTGAGGCGGACAGATCACTCTCACATCACTACTGAGGCGGACAGGTCACTTTCACACCACTACTGAGTTCAGGCAGGTCACTCTCAGACACCACGACTGAGTTCAGGCAGGTCACTCTCACACCACTACCGAGGGAGGCAGGTCACTCTCACATCACTACTGAGGTTGGCAGGTCACTCTCACACCACTACTGAGGCGGGCAGGTCACTCTCACACCACTACTGAGGCGGGCAGGTCACTCTCACACCACTACTGAGGGGGGCAGGTCACTCTCACACCACTACTGAGGCAGGCAGGTCACTCTCACATAACGTCTACCATGTTAACGTCAACAGCTGCGGCAGGTGTCGTGGTGTGTGACGGTGGTGGTGGTGAGCGACGACCTCGCCTTCCTCGCCGCCTTCGCCCAGTGGTCCCTCAAGGGCCGCTTGGTAGGACCATCAACCAGGCTCCTCGCTGTCACCAACGCTTCCTTGGTCAATAATCCGGACCTCAGCAGGACCTACTCCAAGATGAACGCCGTCATGCTGGCTGTAGACAACTTGCAGCAATCCCGGCGGTTAGTATTTTTTGCTAACGCTTCTAACATTATGTTGCGTTCATAATAAAATTCTCCCATTTACCCTCTCTGCCTGCAAAAACCCTTCATCCATCTGCTCCCTCCCTGCCCACACACTCCTTCACCCATCTGCTCCCTCCCTGCCCCCACACTCCTTCACCCATCTGCTCCCTCCCTGCCCCCACACTCCTTCACCCATCTGCTCCCTCCCTGCCCACACACTCCTTCACCCATCTGCTCCCTCCCTGCCCCCACACTCCTTCACCCATCTGCTCCCTCCCTGCCCCCACACTCCTTCACCCATCTGCTCCCTCCCTGCCCCCACACTCCTTCACCCATCTGCTCCCTCCCTGCCCACACACTCCTTCACCCATCTGCTCCCTCCCTGCCCCCACACTCCTTCACCCATCTGCTCCCTCCCTGCCCCCACACTCCTTCACCCATCTGCTCCCTCCCTGCCCCCACACTCCTTCACCCATCTGCTCCCTCCCTGCCCCCACACTCCTTCACCCATCTGCTCCCTCCCTGCCCACACACTCCTTCATCCATCTGCTCCCTCCCTGCCCACACACTCCTTCACCCATCTCCTCCCTTAATATATAAGACTTAACTGTGCCTGTAGAGGTTATCAACATATTATGTCACAGGTGTGGAGTGTACCTACACCTTCCGTACAGTCCCCGGGGCGCCCAGGCGCTGAAGGTGGCCTCCTGGACGCCCCACCAAGGCCTCGCTCTCACCTCCAGCCTCCCGCTCTTCCCAGACAAGTTCTCAAGGTGAGCGTCCAGAAGTTGTGTGTTGCTCTATGTCATTATGGAATTTAATGCTTTTACCATCTACCACTTTACTTCACACGACTCTAGAGCGTGAGTCTGGGAACACTCAGCGCATAGGTTCGAACCCTCATCACGGCTCCTACGGATTTTCTAACTGTAACTATTTCTAAAAATTCGCATTTTTAACGTTTATAATACGTCAATTTCAACCAAACAAATATTAAGCCTTTTTTCCTAACGTACATATGACGTTTTTTCACGTTTAATGCATTTATTTTACATTAAGTTTAATTATTTAAGTATTTATGTGAATGAGTATTTAATGTGCATTTGTTATGTGTATGTGTGTTTGGTGTGTGTGCTTGAGTATTTAATGTGTGTGTGTGTGTCTGGTGTATATGTGTGTGTGTGTGTGTTTGATATGTGTGGTTGAGTATTGTGTGTTTGTGTGTATGTTTGGTGTATGTTTACTTTGTGTGTATGTTTGGTGTGTGTTTACTTTGTATGTTTGGTGCGTTTGTGTGTTTCTGTATATGTTTGGTATGTATATGTTTCATGAGTATGTGTGTGATATGATTTTGTGTCTGATTTGTATGTGTTGGGTATGTTTGTGCGTTTATTTGGTATCTTTGTGTGTGTATTTACAATTATTATTGTATCTGCAGAATCCAGCTATTAGCTCTTGGACCCGGCCTTTCTCACCAATTTATTTTCCTCTATTGTTTCTTCTACATATATTTCTCGCTAAGACACACACACACGCACACACACACAACACACACACACACACACACACACACACACACACACACACACACACACACACACACACACACACACACACACACACACACACACACACACACACACACACACACACACACACACACACACACACACACACACACACACACACACACACACACACACACACACACACACACACACACACACACACACACACACACCTACACACACACACACACACACACACACACACACACACACACACACACACACACACACACACACACACACACACACACACACACACACACACACACACACACCCAGCACACACATCCCAGACCTCATCCCCTCACCCCAAGAACCCACCCAGACCTCATCCCTCAACACCCAAAGCCTACCCTGCCCTCACCCCTCCTCATCCCCTCTCCTTCCATGTGACCCCCCACCCTTGCGAGGGAGGTGGGAGGTCCCCCCCCACCCCCTCTATCCATCCCCCTCCCAACCTCTCAACCTCTATCTGTCTCCCAACCTTACGCCATCTCCCAACCCCTCTATGCCCTCCCTAATCTTCAGACCCAGTATGCCCTTCCTACTCCAGACCTACCTACCCAGGCCCTACCCCAGACACACACACACACACACACACACACACACACACACACACACACTCACACACACACACACACACACACACACACACACACACACACACACACACCACACACACACACACACACACACACACACACACACACACACACACACACACACACACACACACACACACACACACACACACACACACACAGTGTGTGTGTGTGTGTCCAGCAACCCAGGAACCCCAGGGGGGAATGCAACACCCCAGCCCACCACCCAATAGGGCCCTCCCTACCCCCCAGCACAAACCCTTCCTTGCCCCTGCATAATGCCCATCATGAAACCCAAATCCTCCCCCTCCCCTTACCCCAAGTAGCCCCTGCTTTCCCAGCCCCTGGTCTTCTCCCTGCCCCAAGCAGGCCTGAGCAAGACCAAAGCCCTCTATCCCCCACTCCACCTCCCTCCAAACCCCTGTCAACTACACCGCAGGAGGGCGTGCCCTCTCCCCAGGCAATCCCTGCTCCCTCACCCCCAGGACTTCTTCCTGCCCCAAGCAGGCCTGAGGAAGACCTAAGCCCTCCACCCCCCACTCCACCTCCCCCTGAACCCCTGGCAACTACCTCACAGGAGGATGAGCCTACCCAAGTAGCAATGACCATAGAACAACCTCCTACACTTGTAGGGAGTGTGGGTGAAATTGGATATAAGAAAGTGAGCTTCAAGGTAATGTACTCAAACATTGATGGGATTACCAATAAAGCAAGTGAACTGGCAGAAAGGGTGCAAGAAGAAAACCCTGATGTAATAGGACTAACAGAAACAAAATTGTCAGGAGTCATAACAGATGCTGTGTTTCCAAAGGACTACTATATAGTAAGGAAAGAGAGGGAAGGGAGAGGAGGTGGAGGAGTGGCCCTGCTGATAAGGAAGGACTGGAGTTTTGATGAGATGGAAATTCCGGGCTGTGACGGATTCAGAGATTACATAACAGGAACTATAACAATGGGTGGACCTAAGATAATAGTGGCAGTCATTTACAACCCTCCCCTAAATGACAGAAGACCTAGACAGGAGTTTGATAGGAACAACATGGCAACCATTAATATAATAGAGAGAGCAGCTTCAGTTGCCTGCAGGAATGGCTCAAGACTCTTAATCATGGGTGATTTCAACCATGGAAAGATAGACTGGGAGAATGGGGACCCACATGGTGGTGCAGATACGTGGCGAGCTAAACTCTTGGAAGTGGCAACAAGGAATTTTCTGAGCCAGCATGTCAAGGAACCCACAAGAGTGAGAGGCAATGATGAACCAGCTAGACTGGACTTGATATTCACCCTGAATGAGTCAGAAATAAGGGAAGTCAAAGTTGAAGCTCCCATAGGAATGAGTGACCACAGTGTACTGACCTTTGAGTACTTGGTGGAGGTAGGGATAACCTATCCAAGGATGGGAGTGGAGGGGAAAAGACTGAATTACCGAAGAGGAAAATATGACGAGATGAGGAACTTCCTCAGGGGAATACCATGGGAAACAGAACTTAGAGACAAGAATGTGCAGGTCATGATGGATTTTGTCACCCAAAAGTGCCAGGAAGCTGCAGACAGGTTTATCCCCGTCCAAAAGGAGAAAAACGAAAAACAACAGAAAAACCCATGGTTCAACCAGGAATGTAAGGTAGCGAAACAACTGAGTAAAAGAACATGGAGAAACTACAGAAATAACAGAACACCAGAGAGCAGGGAGAGATACCAGAGGGCCAGAAATGAGTACATCAGAGTGAGGAGTTTAGCAGAGAGACAGTTTGAAAATGACATTGCGAGTAAAGCCAAGACCCAACCAAAGCTGCTCCACAGCCACATCAGGAGGAAAACAGCAGTGAAGGAACAAGTGATGAAGCTGTGGAAAGGGGAGAACAGATACACAGAGAATGACAAGGAGGTGTGTGAAGAACTCAACAAGAGATTCCAGGAGGTCTTCACAATAGAACAAGGAGAAGCCCCTGCACTAAATGAGGAGGCGGCAAACCAAGCAACCTTGGAGGAATTTGACCTCACCAGTGATGAGGTCAAAAGGTGTCTGCTGGAGCTGGATGTGACAAAGGCTGTTGGGCCTGATAGAATCTCACCATGGATACTAAAGGAAGGTGCAGAAGCACTAAGTGTGCCACTCTCTATGGTGTATAATAGGTCACTGGAAACAGGAGACTTACCAGAAAGTTGGAAGACAGCTAACGTGGTCCCAATATACAAAAAGGGTGACAGGCAAGAGGCTCTGAATTACAGGCCAGTTTCCTTAACTTGTATACCATGCAAGGTGATGGAGAAGATTGTGAGGTAAAGGATCGTAGAGCATCTGGAGGGAAATAACTTTGTAACGCACCACCTACATGGGTTCAGAGATGGTAAATCGTGCCTCACAGGTTTAATAGAATTTTATGACCAGGCAACGAAAATTAGGCAGGAAAGAGAAGGGTGGGCCGACTGCATTTTCCTGGATTGCCAAAAAGCCTTTGACACAGTACCACATAAAAGGCTGTTAAAAAAGTTGGAGCAACAGGCAGGAGTAAAAGGGAAGGTGCTCCAGTGGATAAGGGAGTACTTAAGCAACAGGAAACAGCGAGTAACGGTGAGGGGGGAGACATCAGAGTGGCGAGATGTCACCAGCGGAGTCCCATAGGGCTCAGTACTTGGACCCATCCTGTTTCTAATATATGTGAACGATCTTCCAGAGGGTATAGACTCATTCCTCTCGATGTTTGCTGATGATGCAAAAATTATGAGAAGAATCAAGACGGATGAAGATAGACAGAGACTACAGGAAAACCTGGATAAACTGGAGGAATGGTCTAGAAAATGGCTGCTAAAGTTCAACTCCGGAAAGTGTAAGGTGATGAAATTAGGCGAAGGGAGCAGGAGGCTGAACACAAGGTATCATCTGGGAGGGGAAATCCTGCAAGAGTCAAATAGAGAAAAGGATCTGGGGGTTGATATCACACCGAACCTGTCCCCAGAGGCCCTCATCAAAAGAATATCATCAGCGGCATATGCTAGACTGGCCAACATAAGAACTGCCTTCAGAAACTTGTGTAAGGAATCTTTCAGAACCCTGTATACCACTTATGTAAGACCAATCCTGGAGTATGCAGCTCCAGCCTGGAGTCCATACCTAGTTAAACACAAGACAAAGTTAGAGAAGATTCAGCCATATGCCACCAGGCTCGTCCTGGAACTGAGAGGATTGAGCTACGAGGAAAGGCTAAAGGAGGTGAACCTCACATCCCTGGAAAACAGAAGAGTAAGGGGAGACATGATAACCACCTACAAAATTCTCAGGGGAATTGACAGGGTGGACAAAGACAAACTCTTCAGCACGGATGGGACACGAACAAGGGGACACAGGTAGAAACTTAGTACCCAGATGAGCCACAGAGACGTTAGAAAGAATTTTTTCAGTGTCAGAGTAGTTAATAAATGGAATGCACTAGGAAGTGATTTGGTGGAGGCTGACTCCATACACAGTTTCAAATGTAGATATGATAGAGCCCAGTAGGCTCAGGAATCTGTACACCAGTTGATTGACAGTTGAGAGGCGGGACCAAAGAGCCAAAGCTCAACCCCCGCAAGCACAAGTAGGTGAGTACAATTAGGTGA